TTTCTTTCTTTCTTTCTTTCTTTCTTTCTTCCTTCCTTCCTTCCTTCCTTCCTTCCTTCCTTCCTTCCTTCCTTCCTTTTTTTTTTTTACTGTGACAGAGACCAGCTGCCTGGTGCCTGGTACAGAGGCTAATGGCATAACCTCCACACTGCCCCGTCCCTTCTATCCCCCAGATTTTAATATTGCTCACAGCTTCAGGCTAGACACGTCTAGGTGTGTTATACATATGCTTATACATATGTACACACTTCTACATATGCTTCCAAAATGAATCACCTAGTCTCTTTTCACAGATGAACACAACTGAGGTTCAGAGACGTCAAATCACTCATCCAAGGTCACACAGCCTGGTCTAGCATATGCACTCATGCCCAAAGCCCGCTCTGCCTTCCAGCCCAGGGAGGGGGGCAGAGGCAGGTGTATCTGGGTCAGCATTCTCTTAGGCACGGGCTGCCAAGAGACAAGTATTCAGCTGTTATCTTTGCTGCTGAGATTTCCTTAGTTCACGCTATTTCCACCTGCTGTGACAGGGAACAGGATACAGAGCCGCTGCAATCCAGGGTGCTGGCCACAGGTGGACCTCCAGATCCAGTGATATTTATGAGGTCAGTCCTGTGGGATGACGTATTAGCTCGGGGAATCTCTGCCCCGTTTCTGACAGGCGGATCTTGAGCAGGGTGGCCCCACTTCCCCTTTCTCAGAGAGGCTAAAATCCAGGATAGAAAGACCACAGCCCAGCTCTGCCACTGTCCCTGTGTGACCTTGGGCCGGTCTTTTGGTCTCAGTGTCTTCATGTATAAAATGGAGCTGGGGTGGAGAGGCTGTGAGAGCCAGTGAGTCAGAGGAGAAGGAGCTATAGAGGTCACAAACTCCTAACAGAACGCAGGAGGGTGAGGCAGTGTGGCCAAGAGTTCAAGACCATCCTGAGACACACAGGACGTTCAAGACAAGCTTGACCTGCTTTGCAAGACCCTGTCTCAAAATTAAAAGCTTAAGAAACATGGATGAGGGTATGGCTCAGTGGTAGAGTACTTGCCTAGCATGTGTGAGGTCTGGAGTTCAAACCCCAATACAACAAACAAATGAACGAACAGACACCATCCCTGCTGGAAAGTGAGGACCCACACCAGAGGGGAAAGCCAGAGGATGGAGACAGTAGACAGGGCTGAGTGTGTCTCAGAGTCACTGGGGTTTGGAAGGGACTGTGGCTTGGGCCAGTGACACGAACTAAGAGCCATGAGAGTCAAGGTGACAGTGACTCTTGGTCACCTGGGTTCTGTGACCTTTTCCTGAAAGGTCACCTATCTTAATGGTCCTCAGAGGAGATGGGGGGAGGGTTTAGTCCATGCCATATGTGGGCTGGAGCATGAACTTGGGAGGCCTAGTACATCTTGAAACCAGGTGGCGTCTGGACTTCTGCCTGCACCACAGTGTCATCAGTTGGAAAGACTGTGT